GCTCCTGCCTATCAGCTGTGTCACAGGAACTCATCATATGCACACTCTTCATTTGGCCAAATGCAAAGCAGAAGACAGAAGATTAAGCTGGTTTCATAGTAAAAAGCAGTATCACTGACTTCAGCTGAAGTTTTGTCCAAGTAGGAAAAATGGAGCTAGGCCCTTAGAAGGTTGTTTAACATCAAAGATTTGAATTTTATAATGTTGTAAAATGAGCATTTTAGATATTTAAAACTGGATTATTCCTCTGCCAATTCTGTGTCATTTTGATATGAAGGATGTTTGCAGAAAGTTATTTAATAAGCTTTTATGCCCAGTAGAGAATACAATGTTTTCTTCGGTAAAAGAATAGCAGTTAATTGTCATGAGTTTACCTTAAAGAATTTAATGACTACAGAGAGATTTCCTATGCTATAAAGCGTTTAAGGAATTTTCTCATGCAGAGTAAAATCTAATCTACCAGCTCTGATGACAATGTAGCAGAGGCACATACACATAACATGAACCTGCTTTATACTAATATTTTAACAGTACCCTTGTATTTATAAAAATAGTGCCATTTGCATGCTTCAGAATACATATGTTCTTACAGGTCTCTATTGGTTTATATACAGAACTTAAATGCCTAGGCTCAAGTTAATGAAGTTCCCCTACAGTGCTTCTGTGAGCTCGTATACACTGGGTATATTAGTATCCTTTCAAGCAAAACAGTACAAAACAAAATAGAAACCTTCATATTTAGGCTTTAAAATTCAAATATAGACTACTGCCAGATTTTTGGTTTGTCAAATCCCTCCCAGTTTTGCAAAACCCAGCTCATCTCTCAGATGAATTAATGGTTCTGATGGTTGAGCTTTGATGTCAGACAATACAAGATGAACTATTGATCAAGTTGATTAGGTCACCATAATGTCTAAAACTTCTAAGTTAGATGGTCTTATAATAAATAATACAGACTACATTATATGAACTGGATGAAGTTAGGTTCCATAAGTACAATAATCCCTCCTAAGATGTACAAGGAAAAAAGCTGACAGGTGAACTACAGGTGAAAGTAAACACTCTAAAGTCTTCCACACAAATACTTGCTTGAAATTGAGGACTCTCTAGAAGCAAACTTCTCATTCTTGGGTCTCGTGCTTATATGTAAATAACGGCAGCCTTCACATTAGGTTTGCACAAGCAGTCACTTCTCTTAAGTAGAGAAGATCTGTCAATCTTTTCTATAATACAACCCTACTAAAACCAGCAAAAGTTCTTTAGAGAGGGAGAGATGTGAATGATTAAAAAACAATTTAAGGGATGCACACAGTACCTTCTCCTTCCATAACAGCTAACAGCAGTAGCATGAATTATGAAGAAAAGGCACTTGAACCGCATGAGAACAGATCAGTAGGACAATGCCACAGATGAAGCTACAATACTGACTGCACAAACAGAGCACTCAAAAACAAACACTGGGTACTTCATGAGTAACAGTCAAACAAAAGATTTGCATGTTACTGGATACAAATACAAAAGCAAGGGAAAAAACAAATGGAGTGAAAAGAACTGAATGATGAGTCTGTTGTGAACTCCCAGGCACCTGCTTCACATTTTTACCGCTGTGCTGTGTAGGGCAGATTGGATATCAGTCGCTCAGAGTATTTTCTTTGGGCACTGCTAGCAGTAAGGGCCAGCAGTGTTGTCATTTAGACAAGTCTCTCATGCTGTCACAGCCAGTCTTTGCAGTGTGGGCAGCAAAGGCAGAGAAGATAGACATAAGTCTCAATTTCAGAATTCCCAACTCTCAAAAGTTGGACAGAAATTAAGTAAATGAGTAGCAAAATTGATTAAAAGGAGTAGGCAGGGTGAAAGCAGACAGCATGCCCACAGCCAGCTCTGGACTGAGAGCCTAGGACAGGACAAGCATAGGTTGTTTTCAACAAAATCCCAACTTTCTAGATGTGTCCTGTACAGCTAAGTTTTACCAATTTCATCTGGGAAGTCAGAGCAGTTGGATACGGTTCACATCATTATTAAAGCACGCTATTAGGCTGTCTTACACCAGTGGAACCCAACAGATGCAAACACCACCAGCAGAACTCGACAGTGCCCCTGTTTACCAGTCTACCACTTGGAAGAAACCTGTATTTCATTAGGGTGTGATTTTAATAAAAACCAGCAGACGCTTCCTTTACATCAATACAAGCATTTTAAAGAGTCTGTAAATGCTGCCAGAACAACCAAAGGAAAGCTCTGCAGCGGGGTAACACCCAGTAGAGGCAAGTCAAGAACTGCCTTCAGCTTTCCAATACACACACACAGAGCATAACCTCAACAGAAAGAGTGCTGCTGCATGAAACTGATAGCCAGCTGCACCTGCTCCACTTTTTGGAGAATGAGAGTCTCTAATCTCTCACACCTTTCAGATCCAGCTGTGCCACATGATCTGCTGACCATCCAACAGAATTAACTTCAAGCACATAAACTTTTAATCCATGGGAAATGGACATCACCTTTTTTGAGATCTCCTTCAAGGGGCCCAAAGAAAAGCTCAAGATTAAGTGGACTATACGCTTCCTTCCCCAAGAGGGTATCACCACTAGTAAACCTCCACTGAGCAGACAGCAAAGGCAAGGTTAAAACTGACAACTGCCACAGAGCAGGGCCATACAGGTGACCACCACACAGGATCTCAGCATGCCAGATGTGCCTCGTTGTGCTGCCTCTCAGAAAACAACGTACTTCAAGGTTCCCAGCATACAGAAGGAACAATACTTCATGGATCCCTGTAGTCATCATGGAAATTTAAGCTAGCAGCAAGGTCGTGATGCTAACAGGCATCCACATGCAGAGGGTCTATTAGCTTGCTACTGCCCCAGAAGGGCCTGAAAAACTCCAGTGGATGGTTGCTGCATAAAGCCCAACTGCATGCAGGGACCCACACTCTATGTGCTTAATCGTGCATACGCAGCATTGGTCTGGCTGCAACTCCGAGTCACCTCTGCAAAAACTACGCAAGTCAATGGATGAGTTATGAAGAGTATCCAGGAATTACCCATTTCCAACAGCCTGATCTGCATGATGGTTCAGTATCCACTGCAATGCAATGTGACCGCAGACTTAAGAAATGTTTCAGCCTGTGGGGTAAGCACATGTGTATCAAATACATGAATAATCTCACAAAGCCTGAAGTATTGCATGTAGATCTGACATCACATGTGTGCACAAGCACCTTCTTGAATCAGACTCTGAAAAAGCCTATCAACATACTTAGGACCAAGGTGAGTGGGAGTCATTTAATGAAATGAACAAATGATAAAATGTCAGGGAAAGACAGGGACTGAAGCAACACAATAAGCAAGCATAAAATACTGTTAGCTACTATGTTATGAAGTAATAAATACAATGGAATAATGGTACATATAGATGACAGCTCAAAAGCTATCTCCATCCAAACCAATATTACCATTTTCAAGATCCAATAAAGAGACAAAATTTCTGCAACAGAGTAAAGGCAACACAAGTGTCAGACTCTCCTGTTCCCATAGCAGCCCAAAAGAACAAGTTGTGGCCATCAACCCGGGGTGGGGGGTGGAAGCCACATACCTGATAGCTCTGTCAGAGCTCTCTCCCACTCCCAAAGAACAAGCACTGACTGTGTTCACAGGGAGCACACCAGAGCAATGAGATACAAATTACATTTTCAAAAGAATTCAAGGCTCCCGTAATATACCTGAAAGCAGGCAACCCAAGAGTGAGGATTTTACAGAAGGCAATCTCCCTTCAGATGCTTGAGATTGTTTCAAACCAGACTACATAATATGATGATCAGCTTAAGCATGTGTGACAGTGCTATCCATCATTCTTTGCTTTCTCCTAAAAAATATGTTCTTCTGCAGAATGATAGTAGAACAATTACCCCTAATATTTCGGAGGCACTTTACATTTTAAAAGCAACAAAAAGAAAAGCACAATGTATTCATACAGAGACCATAAAATAGATCAGACATGAGAAGAACATTGAATTTGAAAAAATAACCACAATGAATATGCAATATTTTTTATGAATCATAACAGCATATGCACCCGGGTGCTTTAACTTCATTTCAATATACTTGAAGAATGAATAAGATACTTCTCTATTAACAACATACTCTAAATAGAAAAGTAGCTCAAATGTGAAATACAATTGCTAAGGCAATAGTTAAAAATTTAACTGACAACAGCATTGCTATAATTTCAACCAATTTCAACCTACTAGTGACTTCTTTGAAGATATAAAATAATTTAGTAACAGTATTATTTAAAGTGTTCTTCCTCTACATAAGCTTCAAACTTATGAAAACATTTCCATTTAAAAAATGAAAACAGTATTTACTTGTTCAGACAGCACACTGAATACCTTTTCACCTCAATTCAGATACACAAAAATTTATATATAAAGATGCCTACTCACCTGACTTAAAAAAATGAGTCTGCTGATAAATTTGAAAATAAAAACTATTATAGAATATTTACATAACAGTCACTGAGACAAGGATATTGGAAGCAGAACAATTAAAGCATAAGTCTAAAATGCCATCTAAGAAAGTGGCTCCAAGATATTAAGGATGAGAGAAGCAAACCATTTAAATTTCTACAATAATCCAAGATGGTGTTTTTTGCCTTTGATTCCAACTGACTGTAGAGATTGCTCATTTTAGCACTAAGCCATTGATGCCAAATGAGGTATTTTCGCTGTGATGGTTATACATGACACCTGTGTTTGCTGCCTGATCTAGTAACATCACTCATGTTGAATTTCAAACACAAAACATCTCATGACATCTTCAGGCCTACTTTGAAACTATAGCTCAACTTGGAAATTAAATTTACTCTCCTACAAACCACAATCACATTAACTTGCCAGCTGAAAAACTCAGAGTAACAGTAACACATCAGCAGTTTCCTAGCCAACAGGGAAGTCCCTCCTTCCAGCACGCCGGTCAGCAAGTCACTGCAGTGACTGTTCTTACCTAGTCCTATTCTGCTGGGACTCGTCTCTCGACTGCATCCCTGGCTCCGAGGGATCTTGCTGCGCTTCTCTGAAGAAGATGGCACCGGCTGGACTCTGGATGTTCCACTGCTCAGGCCACCATAGGCGCTTCCTAACAGCTTACCCGGAGAACTAGACCGGCTACCAGCTAGAAGAGAACCAGAAATAAGGAAAAAAACAATTAAAAACTCTTAAGATTTCAAATACTCTGACAGCAAAACCAGAACAGAAATAGCTCACTCTCAGAATTTGATTCAAATCACTCAGAAAACTAATGGGAGTGTTCCCCATGGGCTTTCAAGAAAGACTGAGGAAAGCCCATGGACAACAAACACTGACATAGCAGCCCTGCCTGTATGAACCACGCTGCCCAGCTGGGATCAAGACCAAAGCAGACCCTGCAGTGTATGAATTCCCAGCTGGCTTTATGCGAGCTTGCAGAGGTGCCAGGAGCAGCCTCGCTGCAGCAGCATGGAATTCACAGGCTGCTTCACCTCCTCGTGAAGCATCACAAACTAGCCTGTGTGGAGAGCTGTGCTACCACATACCGGCTTCTGCCACAGGTAACCTGCCCCAGAGTAGCTCGGGTATCTTCATGCTACACTGGAGTTGTGGCATTACTGTCCCGCAATAATTCAGTGAAGTAAAACTTTAAACAAATACCATCTCAACAGCAGCAGATCAGCACGATAAAGGGTAAACCGAGTAAGGCTGTCACATTTGTAGAGATGCTGGCTCACTTAGGTCCAATTGGTTAAACCTAAGCCATTTAGTTAAACCTAAGCCATTTAGTTATTTTTTCAGCTGGAGAAAGTTTTTAGCAAGTTGAGTAGTTGGCCTGTTTTATTTTAACTTGTCTGTTTGAATAGTCCATGGCAAGTTTACATTTCTTCTAAGCCATGTTGTCTGCAAGACAGTCTACTAACCAAGATTTATTTACATATTTACATTCCAGCTGCGTATATATTTCTATGTGAAACAGTCTTGCTGTCTAAACTCAATGAGCTGAAAAATACTTTTATTTTTTCTCTGTGGATCTTCATTTGGCAAGTTGTTCAAAAATTAAATAATGCTAGCTTTAAGGTAATCATAAAGAACTGTGAGAGTAATAGATTTAAGACTCTTTTTTGCTTCTTCAGGTATATAAAAGTCACTGAAAATTTGCTGCTGATATTACCATTCCTGACATCCAATTTGTTTGCTAAAACAGCCAGGAAAAGTATATTAGAAAAGGTTGCAAGATCATACTCATGCAAGCTCACATTCTGAACCAATATTCACATTGGTTTCTTTCTGAAAAGTATCTACACATCTCTCAAAAATTTCAGTTCCAGATACCATTATGATTAGCAAGAATTAAAGACTGTTCTTCTGTGCTAATTTAAGAAGATATTCAATTCTATTAATCCCATGGACAATACCATTACACATGTATTATTTTAACTTACTTGGCCCCTCCAATTTCTTTGCCAAAGCCATTCTGAATCAATCAAATCATATACTCCAATAGTGTATATGGAGCTGGCTCTGCCCCGCCTGCCCCCGAAAAGTGAGAATACTTGTGACAGATGCCAGTCTCACACACAGCATCCACACCCTAAAAGCCAAGACTCCTCTCCATTACACTGCTGCAATCTCATTGATGTCAGCAGCCTTGTACTGAAGTAACTGGAAGAAGAATTTAGCACCTGGGGTTTAAGCTCCAGCACTGAGCCAGCTTCAATACACAGAATGCTTCACTTATCATGTTTGATTACCATGAGAAAGCAAAATCACTTGCCATATACATTTGGATTTATGACTTTAAGAAAATGCTTCTTAAGTCTCATAGTTAGGAGAGGGAAGCTAAAAGCTTAGCAGTTAAAAAACATGAAGGAAAAAATGTGAGAAAGCAAGAAAGGGAAAATGTTTCTTACCACCAGCAGGATTAGCTGATCTGGATCCTTGATTATGAAGGCAGACCAAAGGACAGGCAAAAAGTGGATTAAAAGACAGCAAGACAATACAGCATTCAGCATGCAGTTTATGCTATGCACAATACAGACAGATTTATTTACAAACATGTCACTCCTAAAGCCTCTGCAGAATGCAGTAAGTTAACATGCAGATGCAACTAACAGTTTCCCAAAGCTGATCAGCTTCTTAGCTAAATGTCAACCAACACACCAAGACCCAAGTTGCACTCTAAATTACACCCCAGCCCAGTATGCAGAATTGCAATAGCGTTATCTGCTGTGTGGGCATGGAGAATTTGGTCCTGTGACCTTTTACGTTTGAATTCATAAGTTATTTCATGCAGTGTTTGGCTTCAGAATGAAGATCACATCTGGTTGGACTAGGCTAGAAACAGGATTCAGCAAACTAGACCAAAGCAGCAGGTTCAGATACGACCATCCCAAGGCTTCATAAGACATTTTATAAAAAATTAAGCCCATAATCTTTGAAACCTTTAGATACTTGACTATTCTTTAAATACTTCTAAGACGAGTCGCATCTGGTCTGATAATTGTTCACCAAACTAAATTTAGGAAAAAAGGTCATCTCTGGCCTTGGATCAGTTTTAGGTTCAAAACTGAAGAAATCAGTTTAGATCAGCATACCAAAGCCCAAATTCCTTCGCCACCTGAATGTATAGATTTCTATTTGGTCCCATCCTGAACATAATACTTCTCTGCAGCTCTCCCAGCCTAACACAATGCTATAAACTGCTTCTCCATCCCTCCAGCATGACAGAGCAAAGCAACGACAGCATGAACAGAGAAGGGCTTTTAAATAGGAGTGCAAAGCAAGACAAGTCCTCAGAAGAAGTGGGCCTTTCCTCAAACCCCATCTCCTCTTACCCACAAGCTTGAAGGTCCTCAAAACATGAGTGGCTTTCTCCCTGCCCCCAATTCCTTTAAAAGTTTCAGTGACGAAATTCTCCTTAGATACACATGACAAGTACGCAGCAGCACCATATGTATGGCTCCTAGGGGAATGCCATGCCTTGCCAGGAAGCACAGATGTGTCATGTGAATCAGAGCAGAACAATCTCCCCCATATCTGCACAAAATAGGTAATGTACTATCTAAAATTGATGCCAAATCCAATTAACTTGAGACAGCTCACATGTTACACATACAGAAATACAGTCACATAAGCAGGAGAAGCTTGGCAGGGCAAGAACCCAGGACAGCAGCCAGCTATAGACACAGAGGGTCTCTCAGTGGGATCCTGCGCAAGTTTAGTCCTACACATCACAGCAACATGAAATTCTGTTGCACAACTGGTAAAAAAAGGCAGATTTGGGCATTATTTGTCAGTAGGAGCCCACACTAGCTGAGTGGGGATTCGTTTTGTTACATATCCAAACGTTATTAGCAGAAGTGAGCCCAATCCTCATCGGATGCTACTACAATTCAAAAAAAAAGGTATTAATAACTATTTGTTCTGCTCCCACAGAAATAAAACACTTCTTACGCTGGGACTGGGAAACTACTTTAGCCCGGCTGCGGCCTCGGGTATCAGCAGGCGTTGAGGTGACACTTGTGGCACTGCCAGAGCTCTGTCTCCTTGTACGAATCCGACCTGGAGGAAAGCAAAGACAATCAGACTGTTAATAGGTTTCTTCCAAAGGCAGCAGCAGTGTCTAACATGCTGTTGTAAGGTTGCAGGGTTGCTATACACACAGTTAATCAGGGTACAAAAGAATTTTACAGGGAGAGGCAACATCTTTTATTAGACTGGCTGAGATGCAGGGGAGGGAGTGGAGACAGTCACAGTCCACGAGTCCAAAAACTTCTTTGCTTTCTGTAATGCTATCAGCCAGTTTAATTAAAAAATATTACCTCTCTATAGCCTTTGCCTCTGTTCTACAGTAGCTTCTTTACAAAGGATCAACAACAAAAGTTTCAGTCTCCTAAACGCTGCTTCCTCTATCAAATTATTACTTTCTGACAAGGCGATCACCCTTTCAGAGACAAGCATGATAGATGCCCCCACAAATTCCATCACTGGGATTTCCACTTAGCAGTTTGGTGCTTTATATCCCGCTCTACACGCACAGGCTGGCATGCACTCCTGTGAGAGTCTGTCAATGCAGCCTGACTACGCTTTTTTTCCAGGCTCATTGAATTTTCCCTGCTGTTTACAGATCCCTCATATTTATCCCGAGATCAGTGTAACTTTACTTGTAATGGAGAGTCCCATTTAACACAATCAACGCTGTGGAAAAATGATTCTGTGTGTCTGCTCTTTATTTAAGCAGAGAATGGATATAAAGTCTCAAAGTGTTCTTGGTCCTTTTTCTGTCCTTTCCTCATGAAAAAGCCACAGAAATTTGAGCTAGAAAAGCTTACAGGGTCATCAGTTCCTCCCCTTCCTGGGGCAGGGCTGTTTCCTACAGAATGTTCTTTCCAGTGCTAAGCTTCAATTATCTGTCTCTAGTTAATGGGAAAGAAATGATAATTAAGAGCAACACAAAGAAAGCCTCCATCAGTACTTTTCAACAACTCAGTTCTCAGCCAAATCTGAAGCTGTTTCTCAGGACTCGTGCCAGTGCTATCCTGCATTCAGAGGACGACTTCAAGTTTCAGGCACAATAATAAAAGGAAAAAAACCACAACAGGTACGAGAAAAGTCTAGACAACTGCACCCACCAGTTATAGATATTAATCTCCTGCCCTTTGTCTCCACCATAAGCATACAGAGAAATATGAACAGGGAGATATACAGTTCCCATCCCCAGGGGGAGGGGGGGGCAGGGGGAAATAAAAAAATCACTTCACTCAAGGTACACATGCAGGACAAGACAATGGCAAGCAGCCCAGGCTGAACAGATTGAGAGCTTTATTCTTCTCTGAGCTCTCAAAATATTCATAACACGGTCTGCAAGTTTCCAATAGACACAAAGCGACAAGGAGATGTTTAATTTTGAGAAGAAAGCCTAGACTTGTTTGCAGAGGAAAAAGCCTAGAAGACAGCTGTACTTCAAACCTCTCCACTAGCATCTAGTTTCCAAATAGCTCAGTAGGCAAGATACAGGTATCTACATACACCCAATTGTTTGTAGACAAGACATAGAAGAAATCATTAGCATAAAACTGGGAAAATATAAACAAACCACTTTTTAACCATTAACCACTGGCTTAACTAAACAAGCTCTGAGCACATCCACATGGGTCCAACAGTCGTGAAACTGGCTGCCAAGGTCTTCTTACCACCAGCAAGGCTGTAGATCTCCTCTGCTCTCGGACATTATCTGCCCCGTACAAATGGTCAGCCTGACACATGACCAGAGGCAGCTCCAGAGCTCTTTCCTGGCCCATTCCCATCCCTTGCGAGTTTGGTACATGCACAGCTACACGCAGACGAGCAGAGCCACTGTACGACTTGTCACAAGGTATGTACTCCATACCCCACCATGGGATTCAGAGCAGGCGTGCATGGGGAAGGAGGCAGAAGGACCTCACACCCTTGTCAGAACACTCAAGGCTTCCTTTCATTTCTCACGTCAGGAGGGCATCACTGGTGGCAGGAGGAGTACAAAACAGTAAAACAAGACATTAAACCTGACCAGTCTTAGGAACCAGTAATGGAATTAACTTGCATCCTTCCAGAACACCAACAGAAAGCCCTGGCATTCCAGAAAGTCCTGGGGGGTAACTCAAGTTGAAATTCAACATTACACACAGTAACAGACAGTACTGGAAAACACGTTTAGTGATGTGTATGGGTCAAGAACGGGTGAGAGGGGACTGACGTCTCCTCCTCTTAGGCACAGGCCACTCAAGATCCTCAAAATTTTCTTTTCTTTCTGCATCTACAAAATTTTTTTTTTTTTTTTGGCTTTATCAGTAGGCAATTAAGGAGGAGAAAACAAAGACAATATGTAGTAAGTGAGTCTCCATCTTAGGAAATACAAAGCCTAAAACAATATAAAAAGAGAAACCAAGATTAGCTTCTGTTACCAACTCTGGGGGCTTTAAGAAAGAAAATTGAAGCAAAGGGTCAAACTTTAACATTAAAGTGTGATTATCAGCAGGATTAGAAACAGAGAGCTCAGTCCTACTTTGAAATCCCCAAGAGTTAGCAGACAGACTCCTACTAACTTCAGCAGTTTCTGAATGAATGAATGCCCAGGAACAAAATTCTGCTTCCTTTTGGACTGGTAGATTTGCACACTGATTTTAGCCTAACGGGTGTCAGAGAAAACAACATGAGACGAAGAGTTGCTCTTGCACAGGAGGAAGAGTCCCAACACTGATACTGGTTTTGTCATCCTAAAAAGGCTGTCAAGCATTTGAACTAACACTGCACTGGACTTGCATTGTGCAAATGATAACAGGAATGGCAGAAACTAGAAATCAGTGACACAAAAATGATGTAATAGTATGAATACTGTGATACCACAGTAACAGTTCACCCTAGGAGTACTTTAAAGTCCATGGGATAACGTAAAACATGAGGGCAAAAAATGCCTCTCAAATTCAAGGTCAAATTCTAATTCTTCACACAGTTACAAGGAAAAAGCGCCATCTGATATCAGTTATATGTATTCCTTGAAGCAGGAATTGTTAATGCACTTTCCAAAGTTTTATTTTCTGAATTTAAAAGAAAAAAAAGTATTTCTTTTTTCATACAGGTAATTAATCTTACTTGCAGCATACAAATGGTTCAAAATAAGTGACTCAAAGCTACTCATCAAGAAAAAAGTTAAGATTCTAAGTTTTTTCTTATCCAAGTACAGCTTTTAGCTGTAAAACAAAAAGTGACCAACTGGAACTCAAAACTGTTTTAGGCAAACCTGTACGAGATAGAAAACCTGGAGAGAGATCTGAGATGTTTCATATGTTAACTTATCTTCACATACACACACAACTTTTATATTAGTCTTATGATATCCAAAACCTACTTGCTTTATCATAGTGTAAGAGGAATGAATTCGTCTGGCTTGAAAATACCAATACTTTTAATACATAGTATACCAAGTACAGCATGTATATATAGAAGTTCATCTATACAATAGAAATGTCTCCACAACATTGCCTTAAGAATTTCATCTGCAAACAAGAGTCTGCATTCACATCCCAGAGTTATTTGCACATAGGACTATTTGTGTGGCTTTATCTCTACCATTCTACCCCAGACTGAAAAAAATAATTTCAAGCAGGACCGGAATTAACACATCAAATAAGTTATTCAGATTTTTTTCTTGTTGTTAAACTCGAGCAAACACCTCCCCTCCCAAAACTTCTTTGCTTTCAAGTGGGTTTGTCTCCATATCAAGCTCAAACTGCAGATGCAGCAATTCATATTTCATAATCATTGTTTTCCTGCTGCTTTTAAAAGAAGTACTGCAGCCTGACAACAGAAGCACAGCAAAGAAACAGATAAAGACTGCACCAACTAGTTTCCAAAAACCATAAAAGTACTTCTATAAAAAAGCCCTTGATCTAAATTTGACATGTGACACACCACTGTTGGTACAGAAAGTATTTTGAAAGACTCTATATAAATGCTCAGTGTTAAGAAACCATTTGTGGGTTTTTAGGAGGTTTTAGTTTTATTTTTTAAAGTTACTGTCATTTTTACAACAAACAATGGATCAGAATCAACCCTGAAATGCCTAACATATGTCTAAAACTAGGAAGGTTGGTTTGTTTTGTTTTTAAAAAGGGAACAAATGAAGGAAGTTTCTATTATAACATTTTTGCATTACAAGAGGCTTCATCCAGAAGCATTGCTCTGAGCTCCTCCGGGTGGATACTGCAGGGTCTCCATCCCCAGTGCTCAGAACAGACATAGGCTTTGTGAGACTCAGCCTATACACTACACTGAAGAAAATGGTTTTCAAATAGTTTAGAAATGGTATACAACAGCTCCACAACTCAGTTTAATCCATTCCATGCTGTGAATAATGATACCTACAACCACACAAGTTATACTTTTAAGCGCTGGGACGGCAATGGTCTCTCTATGGATCAGGTTAATACATTTAGGTTACTCAGCAATGCGGTTTTTTCCCCCCTGCTTGGAGAAAAACATTCCTGAAACAGTTTCTAGGACCACCCTAGCTGTGTCACTGCTAAATGACACACGAACATCTGAGAGACATGGCCACATCAATTAAAAACATGCTTTACTTACAGCAACCATTGGAATAGTTTCCATGCATGTTTAGCACATGTCCAACATTATACTAGTTTAAGACCTGACTCTGCACCATAATTTCCCCCGAGAAGCACTCAACCCTTCCTGGAAACCATCAGCATACGCTGCCTCTGGGTTTTGCACAAGAAGCAAAGGTTTGCTCCAAAGCAGAAGGCTGAGGGAACAATAGTGGCACCACTCTGCCCTGCACCAACAAGCACAGGCAAACCAAGTCAGCACTTGCAAAGGGATGGACCAAGAGACCAAAGAAACCTACTACCTGAGCATTTCCATTTAAGTTACTATGTTCAGGCATACCTTTGAATCAAGCCATGCCCTTGAGGAAAAGGGAGTGCTTTAACGCAGAGAAGAAAACAGGAATGGTGATTTCTTAAACTTTGTGTTCCTCTCAAAGCCTTTGGTAAGGCGTTCAAGATGTCCAACTGAGCAGATCATTCTTTTTGAGCCTAAGTTATCTGACAACTATAATAAACCAGATTTTATTTCCTTTCTGGTGAGTAATAGAAACTATTAAAAATTGTACCACTGACTCTGGAAACTGCTGATTTTGTTTTAAACTTGCCAGTTTCAGGACAGAGCAGTATTTACGGTTCCCCCTTTCGGGAAAGGCTTGTCTGAAGGGTTTGTCTTTATACTCACTTTGAAAAAAGGCAGCCAGATAACAGAAACACTCTGAACCATTATTCTGTACTGAAAGTCAGCATTATGCTCTTTTTTAAAATATTACTTGAAAATCTGTGTCATGATAAAACACGCAGAAACTTTTCTAAGGTTTCCTTTAATTAGGTATTACAAACATGGCACAACTGCTACCTGCACAGCACTAGCTGTGAAATTCCAATCAAGGTTTAGACCTTACAAGCTTTCTGCCCGCCTTCTAAATCTTATTAATGTTCGGATCATACAAGCTTTCTGCCCGAAAAACTCTTAATAAAGTTCAAGAGATACCCATACATATCTGAAGGGTCTGGGCAATCAAGACATACACTGCATGAAGACACAGCCTCACAGCACAGAGACAGCAGAAGACCTGCACAGATTTAAGTGCTATATAGACTCATGCTCCCTTTCCGTAAGGAAGTGCATCTCAACAGCATTTGTCAATTGGGATGATACTACTTAAAACCAAAGGACTGATACTAGGCTCTTAAATTCTATTCTTGTCACTAGCATAACCCACTCTATCTTGCTCCTGTTCTGAGATGTCTGGCTCAAAAACAAAACACTGAGGAGAACTGAGGGCAAAGCAGATGGGAACTGCCAAGTTTGCACAATGCTGGCTCCCAGCTGAGGGGAAGGTGCAGAACTTTTACACTGCAGCTACAGAAATCCATGATGGGAACCAGACTGCAGATTTAACGTCAAACTGAACCACAGAAAAAAAAACCACAGGGATTTACTCTTAAATTACTTACTGGTGACCTGCAAAAAAAAAGCAGGGGTACGAGTGTGGATGGAATTTCTGTTTTATGTTCCAAGAGCGTCTCTTGCACACACAGGTATTTCCAGAGCAAGGGGATGTTTTTCTCTTCCCTTTTTTACATTTATGACAAGAATATAAAGTTTTGCCTTCCCTGTAGTTCCTGACAAACTCCGCAAGATCAGAGAGTTGGCAGAATACCTTTCACAGCCCTCATCTGTTGGACCCACTGAATCATGAACAAAGGCTGGTTCCCCCCCCCCAGTGTCTCAAAGGAAAACAAAGATGAAGAGTTTCAAACAGTGATTAAACTCATCCTTCGAGTGCTCTGGCTGTAGTGTGCCATGTTATTATAATTCTCCCTGATCCTCACTCTCCCAAAAAAAGAGAATCCTACAGCAAAAAGAAGAAATGAGAACTGGTATTTAACACTAAGGGGATGGCAAACTCCATTTCTGAAAGTTCATGTCACAATCTTTCCTGCCCAAGTGACTTACTGGTGGTTTCTATTACGTATTTTTACCAAATCCAATCTGCTTCCAATGTAGCTGAATTGAAAAGAGCTAATCAAATAAAAACCCCACCCTTTTGCATTATGACAATAAAGCATTTAATAAAGTAAAGGTATTCCAGAGGACAGCTGTTTTAACAGTCCTCTCCTAGGCTGTAATAGTATTTGTGGAGGCCTGAGAGCTGCATAGGGTATTTCAAAAATCAACATTAATTTAACATTTCAAAGTAAGGCCAAATTAGAAGGGTTTGAGAACTGCGAAGAAAGGAAGAAGAGAAAAAAGAAGGGTCAACAATGAATAAAAAAAGCTCAGTATTACAACAATTTGGAACTTTCATCTAATTCACGATTGATTTAGAAATACAGGTGTTTAGGCCAACTTCATATTCCTTATCACTGACAGATCACCAGGCACAAACCCTTGCCCATGATGCAGAGTCAGTTCATCTCTCAACACCAAGTACCAGTTCCAAAAACATTATAGATCTCTCCCTCTAAATAATAAATCAATGCATCAATAATAGTAAGAAAAAACCACAGATGTCACAGCAGCACAGTGGCACTTCTCAGACCACCACATCCAAATACAGCAGCCATCAAGGATATGAGCACAGTCCCACAAGACAGTAACAGATCCCTTGAAAAGAGATTTCCATCAGGAAAAAATGGATTTGTTGAGGAATGTGGTGTCTTCATTCTGTGTAAAGACATTTTTGTTTTCAACTCCTGTATACCTCAGAAAAAGCGATTTCCCAGTGATCTTTTTGGCCTGAGAAATAAGAAATAAAGAACAAGCTTTGACAACAAGCCAGAGAAACAGACTGGGAGTCCTCCCAAACTAGCAGGCTGAGTGTTCTTGAAAAGAAGCCTTTCCTCCAAATGCCTTAGATGTGAGCCATCTCACTCAGACAACAAAAAGACAGCACTCAGGTTTAAAGAGGTTGACTAAATATTCCTTCCCTAGAGATCATTGTTTACTGTCCTCATTTTTCTGCCATGTGATCATCTCATTCAATTCTCTCACTGCCCAGTCTCTTCCCGAAAGCATTTGGCAGTTGCGACCTGAGCTTTGGATGGAAAAACACAGCAAACCCTTACATATCATGGAGCAAGAAAACACAAGCCCTGTGTTGGTTTTTTTTGGTTTTTTCAACCTGTGCACTGCTCACCTTCAACCAACAGCAGTGCTTTAAATACAGAAATCCACATACCACTTTGTGATCGGAAGTAATAAAAGCAGACTAGTGCCTATTAGCAGGGAGGAGCTTGAAGAGAAAGTGAAGAATACCCCATGGCATCAAAATGAGCAGGACAACCATGCAACATTTCATGCAGGTCACCAGTGAACATGGATGAGAACCAGATAACACTTTGAGAACAGAAACCAGGTAGGGTGGTACAACTGTGGACACACCTCAGTTACATAGAGAGACTGCTTACCCTCGGTTTTAGTGGTAGTACCATCTTTAGGCCAATTAAAAAAAAAAATAAAGAAAGGTTAATAGGGAAAATCAGTAACATCAACAGAAGTGGGCACTATATATTAGCTACAGAAATATGCAAAAAAATTAACACAATTAAAGAAATGAAAAAAGTTTGACTGAGCAGCAAATCAAAGCTTGGTGTATCTGAAGATCATGCTTGCAGGTTTTCCCTCCTGCAACAATCAACCTTTGCCAAACTCTGTTTTCATTGTCTGCTTCAAGATTTCTCTCATGGGAACGCACAGGTGACAAATGTCCCTACTAGCTCAAAAGCAAGCAGGTTCCTTCAGGAGCAGCCATGTTTGCATCACTTTCGAGTGCATTTGCTGCTTTTCTCTTACAGTCTGTTTTAAGAGCAAGACTAACACTGTATTCAGTTTCCTGGTCTCAAGGACAAAGCCAACTTTAGTAGATACTTCCCCTCCCTCTTCCATTCTTCCTCATGACATAAGATTGTTCGAAAGCAGTTTTGCCACTGAAGCCATTATGCAGCGCAACTGAGAAATGGTTGCATCTGTAAGCTCGCAAGCACACTGTTATGCTGTCAACTTCCTATTCTGTATTACATTTTCACTGCGATGTATCTAAATCTTGCACCAAGTATGAACAATTTAAATCGGAATAAGAATTCAACTTCTGAACCTAATACAACCAACACATTTAAGCCAAGGTAAAACATTTCAGATAAGAAAGAAACCTGTCTACAAAAGGAATCTATAGAAACCATCACTGTATAATTCACCAAGCATATTTTATCAGACTAATGACCAAACGCCCTACACACTAAGGAGAAGTGGCTTCTCAACGACTCATAGAAGACAATCTACACAGTTTAAATCAAGATCACTGATATCTGATTTTTCTCCCTCTTGTAAAGGTAAATTGATGAAAAGTCTGGAATTAGACTAGTATGAAAGCAGCAGAATGAGAAACTAGCTCAGATGATCAGCTCTGCTCATAACCAAGTTGAAGCTCTGCAAATACGGTGTCAATCACTGCCTTGCATTTCCTCCTCCATGCCTCCTTCAACAGCATCTCCAGGAGAGAAAGATCAAATGCAAACTTTGTTGTAAGAAACCCTGAGGCACCTGAAAGTGATATACAATGCTTTAAGAGAATAATGTGACACGTGGCTATAAACCAAAAAGAGTCAGCATAAGGAACAGATACTTATATCCTGTGTGGTGAAACAGGAAGGCTGACTACTCTTTGCTCCTACATCTTTCTGTTTTGTAAAACAGAAAGCGATCAAACTCAACTAAGATGCACTATTCAAAGTATAAAACACTTAATGGAAAACCAGTTCCAGGAAATTAGGGAAGGAAGAGAAGGAAAAGAGACAGGGGGACATGTCAAAAGGAATCGAGCAGTAAGTATTTTACTCAACAACACCCCAGAATCATAGTAAGATCTGCTTTTCCCCCAGAAAGAAGAGTGAGACGCAGACTATTATACAATTCAAAAACTAAGAAGTTGCTTCAAGTCAGTTCTGTTGCAAATACTTTCCTTAATCCCAAAGGGCAAGAGATCACACACTGATCCTGGATATCTGGTAACTATCTCAGAGATATGTTCTTCTAGTTAAATATTCAAATAAAACTATGAGGCACTTTCTGCTAGTAAAGAAAGCTAACTGCAAGAGTAGAAGAACATGTAGATTTACCTAGTGATGCGTATGAGCCTGGGGGCAAGGCTGCAGCAGAACTGAAGGGGGTGGATGCTCCAGAAGACGTCACTTTTGACTTGGCACTAGCTGCTGCATTCACATCGACGTCACTGCGGGATCGCTGCAGAGATCCTGGTGTTGACACAGATTTTGTACTTACTGTAGATGCTGCAGATGGGAGTGGGAGATCCAGAATAAAGAAGATTAATTTTTGAGCTCTGTGCTTCAAAGAGCCTGACAAGCAGTTTAATGTATTATTTTCAACACTCCCTGCTGGCACTGAAATACTTCAACTAAGAATGCTTTATCAGGGCAACGTGGACTTCCCCGCACTGCCTGCAAAGATATTTAATGCTGACCTGATGCTACCTCTAAGAACTTTATCAGACACTAACCTAAATGTCAAGATCAAAAAGGCTGCCAGGCCAGTAATAAAGAAATTCCTAACAGAACCTAGGATGGGAAAGTTCAACCACAGTACCCATCAACCAGCTTGCGAGTTGCTAGCCAAAACAGACCTGCAGGTCCTTCAGTCCAGGTTCTACTGTCTTCCTTCCCAACATTTCATCTTCTCATGAGGACTGCTGTTCCCATCACTTGTTTACGCTTACCCTCTTAAGCATGAAGCTTGACTATTCAGCTGCAAGCAAATATGCATCTGTGTGCACAATCAAGCCAGAACCCGATCTTGGTCAGGTGTAGAAGGCAGCTTATCTTCTACCAACAAAGTTTTGTCTATTATATTCTGTATTAAAACTTATTATTTAGATTATTGCATGCATTTACTGAGGACAGAAAAGCTGCACCTAAATATTCCATCCGACAGTAAAAACATTAGCAATGAGATGGAATTGAACACTGTAGCATTTCTGTGCAGACGATGCCTCCAGTAAGTGCTGAAACCACAGAGAATAAATGAAAAAATTGTAAAGCTGAATGCACCATTAGGCTATGTAGTTGTATGTCTTAGCATCAGCAGTAGTTTATTCCAGCTATTGCACAGCTAAACATATCTTGGTTACAATTTTCAAGGCTTTTTTTTAGCCTTCCCTTCAGGTGCAAGCAATAACAGATTTATTAACTTTCAAAAGCATCATTATATCGGCAATTGATGCACAGAATGTGGTGTACAACCCAAAACTAATTTTACATACTAAGTTGCCATTTTAAGGAGCAGTAAGCAGTGATCAAAGTTGTTCTTTGCATATCTCAGTGTCTGAATTTTTTATTCTAATTCACCACACTTCCTCAGCAACACCTGAGCATTTTTCATCTCCCATTCTCACCTCTAGATGTAGTACTTCCAGTAGGACTTCTTTTGGCAGATAATGGACGGCTAGAAGTTAATATAAATATTTATTAAAACAAAATTAGTATTTCATAGTCATCTACTCGGTGCTACTCTGTTCCCTTAGTATACAATTGAGTTAATAGGAAGTTATTTATATACAGGAATAGACTAACAAAGCATACTGTTTAAGAATAAACACAGCACCACCATGAAATTCTTTACAAAGTCACTAAGAAAAAAATTATTATGCACATTATTTAAGCAGTAAGAGAATTAAGAACACTTTTTGTAGATTAAAAATGTTATACCAGTACGTTACAGATATTTTTTGTATAGGTCTTACACTTAAATTGCAAACATTTCAAGCCTAAGTTGACTGTATCTCTAAGAGAAGCTAAAATACATACATTCAATAGAAGAGTTACATATTGATTTGCAGTTAACTCAAATTTAGTTCAGTCCGTTTTTTTTTCTCTTATATGCACAGAGGCAAGCTTACACCTCTAGGATTAATGCCAAACATAGAATTTCAATCCAAGCATTGTTTTAAGCACACCTGGAAGGAATGTCTAACAGTATCTGCTGACCACAAAAAGCTCCCTAGAAAATTATTTATAGAGTCAAGATAATTATTTTATTTTTTTTTTAAAAAAACAGTAATGGGTTTTGCTGGCTTTTTATTGCAATACAATGTTAGCTAAAAAATAAATTTTGGGGTAACCAAGTGTTGAGGTCAAATGATGACCAGATGAGACAAAGCAATGTGATGGCTCCCTCCAATTCAATGGAGCTATCTCCAGTTGTTTAAATCGAGAAGTAGCAACACCAAAGGACTTACTTGAGACTCTCCTGGGAGCTGGAGGAAGAGCGATCCGACTGTGGCAAGGACACAATGCTGTCAGAGTTCTTCAAATGTGACTGCAGGGCCTTCTGGTAGGAAGACTCCAAGGTGTGGTACAAATGCTCCGCCTCTCGGCTGAAGTGACTGTGGAAACCCCAGTAACACCTGGAAACAATGCACAATATTGTGAGCATTTCCTTGTCGTCCTTTAGGGGGCCATGGAGCACAGGTACAGTCAGAGCCCTTTTCACTACTGGCATTAGTGGGCTCATTAGCCCAGTTATTTCAACCATCTACTGCTCCTATGACACACTTAAGACGTATCACTTTCTTCAACCCACTGTATTGGTCACAGAGAAGACAAACCAAGTAAAAATAAGAAGAGAGGAATGCACCAAAATGGTGCATTGTAGAAACACAAGCAGCCAACAAAGCTTTATTACACAAGAAACCTTCATCCTGTCTTCCTACCACACACAGGAGATGGTAAACCCACTAGACTGATACTAGTTTGGGACTGGGTGCTCAATCGCTACTTCAAAACCATGCCAAACACAGAACAGACATGCATGGGCCCAATTTAGGAAGGAACCAGCTGGTGGTGTTTTCTTCTTCAAGTTTAAGAAACAGCTCTCCCACAATGCTGCAGAAACAAATCTGCATTGAGTTGAGGTTGTTGTCTGTCTTTTTGAGAAGAAATAACAAGGAAAAGGGAAGAGATGCTCCTATAGACTTCCAGTCAGCACCATGCTGAAAATAAAAGAGCATTTTAAGATCAGAGAAGAATTCTTCTCCGGTCTGAATCTCCTGGCTGACCGCTAAACACCATTCACTCTCGTCACAAAGGAGACGAAGACTCTCAGCACTTTTCAGGGGGCAGCTAACAGGCAGTTTAAGAATAAGATCATTAGCTAAAATGAATCAAGAATTGTTTGTGTGTGAAAGCCAGTCCTCAGAGCTTCAGAGAAGTCACATGCATTCTCATATCACTAGAAGGAAACAAATTTCTGTCTCACAATTAGCCACACTGCTAATTAAGAAACATGGGAAGAGAGAATTAAGCATGCTCTCTGAAGTCTCATGCCATTCTCCTTGCAGTCTAATCAGCATAACTAGTCACCTGCTGTGAAGTCTCAGTGCCTACTGTATTTTTCAGTGATGGACGAGTTCTCTTTCAAAAGGATTTAAAGAGTCCTACTGCGAAACAGCTCTGCTTATAACATAGCATTTAGATTAATAAAATTTATTGTTCATTGATTTCATGTTTTACAGCACCCTCTTTCTGAAGAAAAATATTCCTGTAGTGTTCTGAAGAGCATGATCCTACTATATCAGCGTACTACCCTACGTACAATCATGTTAATGGAAACGCAAGAGAAGTTCAACAGAAGAAAAGTAATTGCAAATATTAAAGTTCCTAGAGATACACACAAAGATATTATTTCAGTGTCATAAAATATTTCCTCAATTTAGGATACCATTTAGCAATGTACTAGCACAATGACTTTTATTTCAAGAGGAGCAAATAACAATAGAACAGACTATTTCAGTTGGAAGGGACCTACAACGATCATCTAGTCCAGCTGGCTGACCACTTCAGGGTTGACCAAAAGTTAAAGCATGTTGCTAAGGGCAGTGTCCAAATGTCTCTTAAACACTGACAGGCTTGGGGCATCCACCACCTCTCTAGGAAGCCTGTTCCAGTGTTTGACCACCCTCTCGGTAAAGAAATGCTTCCTAATGTCCAGTCTAAACCTCCCCTGGTGCAGCTTCGAACCATTCCCCTGTGTCCTATCACTGGATCCCAGGGAGAAGAGCTCAGCACCTCCCTCTCCACTTCCCCTCCTCAGGGAGCTGTAGAGAACAATGACATCTCCTCCTTTTTCCCAAACTAGACAAGCTCTAAGTCCTCAGCTGCTCCTCACAGGACGTGCCTTCCAGTCCTTTCACCAGCTTTGTAGCCCTTCTCTGGACACATTCAAGGACCTTCACATCCTTCTTTAATTGTGGGGCCCAGAACTGCACACAGTATTCAATGTGAGGCCGCACCAATGCTGAATACAGCAGGATAATCACCTGTCTTGACCTGCTGGTGATGCTGTGTTTGATACACCCCAGGGTGCGTTTGCCCTCCTGGCTGCCAGGGCACACGGCTGACTCACATTGAGCTGCTGTCAGCCAGCATCCCCAGATCCCTTTCTGCAGGGCTGCTCTCCAGCCAATCCTCTCCCAATTTATAATTGTGCCCAGTGTTACTCCATTCTAAGTCTTGAATACAGGTCAAAAAGAAAAGAAAAAAAATATATCAGAAGTAATAGTATTTTTGTACCAAACAGAAGAAATCTCATTTAACTGCGAGCAACTCAAACATGAAAAAGAAACACAAGGTTACTAGTTCTTGACTCTAGACTCTTGAACAATTCGGGTAAGCATTTTACCTGCTCAGATAGATAAACAGACAACAAAATATTATAAGAACAAAGTGAAACAAGCACCATCAGAAGTTGCGATATATATATAACTCAGACCCATGTGATTACCTCGTATGACATCTCCTAACACACTCCCACTGAAGCCAAGGGAAAGCTGGAATCAACTGCCAGGAGAATGTAACCTGTCTGGACTTCAGCCTCCAACATACAACAGCACTGACCCACAACACAATAGGGGTAAATAAGGGGAGGAAGAAGAGACACCAACAACAGCTTCCACTTACTTTCTTGCCTCTATTCTGGCTTCAGAGTCTGCATCATGAATTCCTTTCTTTATCGTTTCAGCTAACACCGATATGTGTCTGAAATAAGAAGGAAAACATTACCCAGCAGTCCAGAAAGATGTGCCACACTTATAAACAAAGTACTAATTTGATTTTTTGCCTTGGTCTCCAAGAACAAATAGTTCATCACATCCTTCCATTTCCATGTAAGATCCTTTGGAGCCTTTATTTACTCTCACTAGTCAGTTTTATTTCACCCACGCTGCCGACTAGGAAAAGGCAAGCAGGATTCTTCATAGGTCAGTCTTTAGTTAGCTATTGAAACTGCCTGGGTGTCAAAACACTCTTAACACTTAAATAGCCTTGTGCAGTCTAGGGCTAAGGAAATTGTGTCCCAGGCTCTTAAGCCATAATTATGTTCAGTGTTCATTTGCCTGAAGTACTGTAGAAGCCTCAGAAGCTCCTGACAGATGTGTTGTAGCCTTTATCTCATAATCTCACTTTAGGGTGCAAAAGGAAAAAAAAAAAATTTTAAAAAACCTACTGAGTTCAGGGATTCACTCAGCCAGGTTTTCCAAGGTTGGCATAGGAGACAGACTCACCGAACTCTGACTGCCAGAACTACAGGGACAAATGGTGTGTGTGCACATATGTACATGGGGGTTTTTTGTGACAAAAATATCTCTACTAGAGCTACCTGATATAGTCTCACCTCCTGGATTACCCTTTCTCCAAGATTAACCTCCCCAGACATAAGTAGGAGAGCATTAATCCACTTGTTTTCAAAGCTTACCTTTCTAGGGAGTGTGTTTGCCACTCCTGCAACAACAAGTCTAAAAATTCAAAACAGCGCCTGCGAGAACAAAGAGAAGAAACACTGAGTTGTCTAAGTTAACAGAGGCACACTGACTTCGCCCTACACGCCTCTAAACAACAGTTATCTTTTGTTATGAAGCTTTTTGGGACATGAGAATTCAGTAATGAGCCTGATAAAAACATCAACATCTCTACAAACACCATTAATAAAGTCTGAGGTAGTAACTCAAGGCAGCTCACTACAGAGAAGTCTGAAGAGAGGGTTTGACTTGAAACAATCCAGAAAGCCCCCTTTTTCGTTAAACAGGACACAGGCCCTGAAGATCCATGCTAATGATAACTTTGTACCTGGTTAGCTGAGGCTTCACACAGAAACTTCACATTTAGCTTCATGTGGAGACAGATCTTTTCAACTTTAATCTCACTTCCTCATTTCAAGAGACTAAGGCACAAGTGTGCTGTCACTTGTTAAAGGTTTGTCACCAAATTCAGCAACCACAAAGCCCTTCTTTTTGTTTAACTAGAAGAGAACTAATATACGTGGACCAGGTAAGAGTCTCCCAGTGAGGCAGCAGACTGAAGTACACTTAGATTTTAAGTGCAGAAAGGACATTAGAATATCCAGTCCAACTTCCACATGATGCTACCACAAAACACTACTTCTGCTGGCTGGCTCAAAGAAAATGTGTCACTGTAACAGCTAGTCATGGGGAACAGGAATGTGTCTGTGAAGAAGTCAAAATAATATGATGTTATAATGATATGCAAGCATAAAGATTAGTTTAAAAAATGTTTCTCTCTGTGGAAAAGTGCCTTTTCTTCTCTGCAGAGCTGCGGTTTATACAAGATCGTCAACTTTGAATTTGATCCCAACTCATGGGAGAGAATGTATATCAACCCTTTTCATGAATTAAAACAAACACATTAATGTTATCAGAAAGTACATGTGAACCTACTTACTGCTAAAAAAGAGAATAAATCCATACTAAACGCTTACCTTCTAACTGCAACAGACTTGGAGGTACAATTACTGGTTATGATGGGTATTAATCGAGGGATATGCGTATGCTAGAAGAAAAAAAACAAACAATAAAAACAGGAAGAAATCTTTATGCCACAGATCCATGGAACAAAAGGCCATCTCTTTCAGCCATCTGAGCCCAGTATGCAGATATTTATTTTTGTTCAAGTCTTAAAAATAGAACTGCTAAATAAAGGAACACTAACAGATAGGGACAGATATTTTTATATTAAAAATGTTTTATATTTTATCTGTTAACATACCTTTAACACATATTTTATTTTCTTCTGTAATGATAGGCTCCAGTGAGTGAAGGAGCTGAAGTCACTGCAAGAGGATCTAAACTGTCAGTGGTGACAACTTGAGAGATATCAGGCTATCTACAGCTTCCCCAATGAATCACCAGGCAGAAGTCTCCTCTGTGACCTAATGGTTTTAGGAAACGTGCACTGTCTGTGAGGAGTTTTAGAGCATAATTGAGAGGATGAATCTATCCTGCAAGGAAGGTTTAAAACCCATTCAAAGAAAAAAGTTTGCTCAGCTCTTAGAGGGACAGAAATATCTTACTCTGCAAAGAAACATTTTTCCTACTATTTTGGCAGGGCTTAACTATCATCATCTGCACAAGGCTGCATGACATCTGAAGGTAGCCAAGCCCAGCACAATCAGAAAATTAGATTAGGCACTTAATCCAATTTTTATTGCAGCAACATTCATATTTCTTCAGAAACACCATCATATTTGGAAATTATAACAGTGTTCTCTTTTGATGTATACTTACTCGAATGATTAATCTAACTGCTACAACACCAGAAGTAGCCATGACTTTGGCACTATTCGGAATTAGATTAAAAATTGTTGGCATGATGGCTTCTGCCCCATGATCAAACTTGTTTCCCAGAACTGATGACAAATGTCTGAAAAACAGAATGAAGTCATGCTGGTAAGTGTGCTGAGGATTAAGCGAGTCAGACTTCTACAGAACATCTGACATAAGCACATCTGACATATCAGCCTTTGCAACTGTCACCTCCTCTCCAACTCCAAAGGACAGAGAACACCATGTTTCAAAAACAAGTTCCTTTACTTTCATTTCAAACTTGTGTTGTATACTCATCTGAATTCTGAGAAACAGTAAGTTCAGCATAAAATAAAGTAACTAGCACAGCTAAAAATTTATTATCAAACGAGTGGTATCATGCTGAAACAAAGTATTTTTCTGAACTTGTTAGTTTATATTACAGTTCCTCTGAAACTGTCTATTTTGCCTTAATACGCACAAATGTCAAAAAAGCTTAGAAACACTGCACTATCCTTTTTCTTGAAGCGTTTCACAAAGGATAAACATCAAAAATAAAAACTAGCTCAATCCAAACCAGAAAAAAACATACACATGTTCCACTTTGTTCAGTCCTTTCCTGCTCAGTGCACAAATGCATAGCTTGCTCATTCATTCAGCATATCTCAAATCAGCACTATTTAAAACTCAGGAACACAGTTTGGGAGAACTACAATTAATGGCCTACATGGACGTAGTTTTAAACAGCTGTAGCAAAATCATGTTCTACCTACAACTATGTAGTACCAGTAGCATTAGTTACATCCTAAATGTGTTTTAACCAGTGTCTGTTCCTTTTTAATATAACACATTTCAAGCGTATTTAGAAAGTAAACTTACCCCAACGTGATACAAGCCTCTCGTACTACTTGAGATCGCAGATCTTTAGCCGATAATTTAAACGCTCCATCCAAAAGTCTTAAGTGTTGGAAGAAGTTATCATATTCTGCAGCTCCAGCCAAAAGCAAGGAGCGAATCTTTTTCAACTGTTAGCACCACAAAAGAAAGCAGTGACTGTTAATGAGCAATGAATACAAGGACAGTTATGTTCAGGGCTGATACTTGGTTTCCAGGGTGCTTGTACAATTGTTCCTCAACATGCGTTGAGGAACTCTGTTCTCAAAGTCCAAGCAATTTTATTATTTCAGATCTTATATTCAACTCACAGGTTAACATACTAAGTACAATCATATAAACATGCTAGCTGTTATAGAAATCCAGAAGTGTTGCATACAGCTACTTAAATTGTATTGTTAATAACCCAAACATCACTTTTTAAGCCAAAAGATATCTTGAAGGTTCTTCTCTATTCCCCTTAGAAACCACCTATTTACAACCATTTCTAAAGCTTAGATCCTCTCACAGCTGACTATTGTATTCAAAAGATGACTAGACTTAAAGGGCATGGCTCATACTCAGATCTGAGTAATACTGATTTATACCTAGAATATGTCCATTGACTTCATTAAAATAATTATCTAGCTCTACTAGAAGTGGAACCCTGACCCCATCAAAATGGGAAATTTTCTATTAACACTACACCATTTCATACTATAGACATTCTTTTGGACACCTTCACAGGCCCTCATGTATACTGATGCATCTGTACAGTGCCTTGATTTAAGCTCACTGTTACCCAGTACAGCAAACAAAAAAAAACCTGAAGTAAGCTGAATCAGCACAGTTTGCCACTCAGATCTGTTATACAGCATTTGACAGACATGTCAAAGTTGCTACACCAGTGATGAAAGTCTACTGTGTAGACAAGATCATCCATCTATTCATATCATGAAAACATAGCTCACCTCAGTAAACATAACTCAGTCTTGGCATGCATATAACTCGTCTGATTTTCCACTTCCACATTTCCCACAATCATGTTTCTTTATTCAAAACGTGTGTAAATTCCTTCTGAATTATTTTACACCTCCTTTTGCAAAAGTATAAGTAAGTTCTCTATAAGCAAAGTGACTTTCTGCCTCATTAGGAAGTTTTAAGATATTCTGAATACCACTTTTGACATTTTGATTTCAGTATCTGCTAGCAAATTTCTAGCTTTATATCTGGATTTGCTGCATGACTTCCAGTTCAACCTGATGCTGTCTCAACAGATTCTTGTATATCAAATAGCATTTTCCTTCACAGATGTGGTTTAAATTCTGTCTCATAAGGAAGTATTTCCCCAAAGCTTGGGGGAACATAACAGATGCTCACCACTTCAACTACATTCTAGCCTTATTCTGAGGTTCTCCCAGTACTCTCATCATAGGATTAATATCCATTATATTAGTAGAGTTCATATCTAAGCTCACTACTTACTGCGGAAACTCTCTGTTCCCAGTCGTGCTTATCATCTGATAGTATCTCTCTTATTTTGTTTATGGATTCCTCAAGATCCCGGCTGGAATAAATCTGCAAATTTAAATACACAGTAGCATCATAATGCAAGAGTTACTCCAGAAAATCAGATCACTTCCCAACTACATTCCTATGTCCTTTGCTCCTCAATGCTTAAATGTCACGTGCTAGCCTTGGACACAGCTAGCTTTACATAATGCAAAGAATTTACACCTATTTTCTGCAATCAAAAAATTATTAAATGACCACAAGATGATTAAAGGATCATCTTTTACTATTCTACTGTATTTTCACAATTTTAAGTACCACTCCTGCAGCTACTAGTGACTATATCAGTCAAAACTTACAGAAGACCACAAGTGGATACATGTGCTGTTCAGCTGTCCCAAAAACAAAGCTCTGGTGAAGAAGAGGGGGATAGGTGACACATCTCAGCTATCCAGCTAAATCTATCAACAAAGATGCACTGTCCAGTTGTTGCACTCACAACAGCAGCAGTCCCAGAGACCCAAGTCACCTTTATTGCTTTCAGTTCCCAGATGGTACAGATGAAATTTAGAGATGCTTCTGCTGACTTAAGTTTCTGTTTGACCAGACTGCACTGTGCAGCATGCACATTCAGTTCCAGCTCCACGTCCACTCCTGTGATACCTCTATCACAATCCTCCCACCCCCATTCCCTCCACTTCTGAGGGTTTCACACAAAATACTGGCAGATACCATCATTTAAAACTTGCCTCCCTCCAACTCTAACCTGCCTTCCCCTTAAAGAAAATTTGTCACCATCACAACGAAGCACAGTTTGACAGTGACTAGGACTAGATCCTACATCCATCTTCTGCTTTTTAGTACTGTGTGTTTTAACATGTCATTCTACTTACTTGAACCGTTGGGACATCTTCAAATGCCTTAATGAAGTCTTCTTCATCCACAGCACCTGCTCCCTCTTTGGCTGCTGACATACAAATGAAAAAGCCTTTTCAATCTTATCAACAAAAGAATCAATTAAGAAACCACCAGCTATCAAGGCACCTAATCAGGAGGAAGTTCACTATCCATGCAGTCTCAGAGTGCTGCAGATGTAATGAAAGCAGAGACAGGGAAATTCAATGCCAGGCACAGACCAGCCATTCACAGCGTCCTTCAACTCCTAGGCACAGAGGGCACATTAGGGAAGTCATTACAGTAGTCACACAACAGTTAGGGGACACAGTCTGAAAGATGAAAGGGAATATTTACTTAATTATATGGGAGATTTTATTTTAAAGGATTTAATCCTATCTATAATAGATGAAGATGCAGATCTGACAGGTTCACAAACCGACAAATGATAAGGAAGACAAATAGTCTCCGGAATACTAATCAGATTAGAGACTGTCTGATATAGGGAACTTTCTCCATTTCTCTAGGTCACATGTAGAATCATAATCCAATGTAGAATTATTGCTCGCATTCAGAATTACTGCTCAGTTTTCTTTCTGCACCTTCAATACTAGCAGTGTCCAAAGGTCTTGCAAGAAAGTCAATGCATCAGTTTTAGACTGCATGGGCTGAAGTTTAGCATGTAGCTGTAAGCAGCCTGTCTCAGTTCAGCTAAAGATTTGAAGCTATAAATGCAAAAATCTACACATGGCAACACTGACATGATTTACTCATAGCCCTCAGTGCACAACCACACAGATTCAACTTTCCACAAATGCAAAATGCATTATAGGGATGTGGGGACCACTTGGAGATTCATCCTACCAAAGTTTGGTCATGGCATGCAGACAACATACATGTAATGATTTCATAAGGAAAAACGTGTTACCGGATGCTGGGGGCCAGTCTGGAAGTCCTTGCAATAAGCTCAAACATGAACACTACAAATACTCGACATGAAGGTCAATTCATATATGCTATCGGCTTACTTGAAGACTTGGAGCCCAGAGCTGCAGACCCAAGTCTGCGGGTAGTCCCCATTCCAACTCTGCGCGAGTTTGCAGGGGCCTTTGAAGATGTAGAGGAGCTAGCTGAGGAAGGTCTGTTCCCATCCACAGAGTCTTCATCGTCAAAAATTTTATCTGCCAAAAAAAGCACACTCGGCTGTAAGTCTGATGAAGCAAAGGGACGTCCCAAGGAACATGCCCACACAATGGCAAACGTGCCGCATGCTCAGGTCTGCTCCGCCAGCTCTCATCTCAGCAGTGTCTTCATGCAAGAAATCCAGTTGTTCACGAATGACCATCAGGCCGCTGAACCCAAGCCTTGGCTATTGCAGCCACTATGTTATAAAGCATTTCAGTGAATGCATTCAGATAAAAAGAATAAACTTCAAATCTACAGCAGATAGATGTAAGCCACAGACAATACTTGGGGTGTCCACAGTCTGTATCTCTGAAGTTTATGCCTCTCAGAGCTATTTTGCGATGGGCTGTAGTGAAACTAAGACCATTACGCAAATCCAAGAGCCAAGTGTGGATGGGATGAGGCAGCACAGGCTGCCCTGCTAACTGCCTGCACCAGACCGAGAGTAAATAGGGTAACCCAGGAAAGATCGCATGGCAACACCCATGATGTTGATAAACCACAGATCATTAATCACAGACCCATCCAGAGCTACAAATCCACTTTAACTTCTTCAATGATCACCAGGGATTCTTCACAAGGAAATAGAAAAAGTTACTACAAATTCATACAAACCATAAACATAAGGTGCATTAAAACTTACTGAATCTTCTGCGTACATCCAAAGGGAACCGCAGCCTCTACCTCCAAACATGAACATAAATTAACTTAAAATGAATTACAGTCACTTTGATTCCCAGTGAAGGTCACTTCAATTCCAAAGGAGTGCTTATATTGCAGTTTTACATAGATTAGCTAATCCACTTTAAAAACCAGCTTAGGCTGAAAGGTGACAAAGTGTTTGGACAGCTGATATAGGTGGCACGCATTATTTATTGAGGTCAGAAAGCCACCTCAGTCCCCATCACTTAGCTTCTCCACATTAACACTTCATTCAAGATTTGAGACCTGCTGCATGTCCATCCCTCTCCAACAGTCGAAGGTACACACCCACTCTCCACTGGTTCAGGAACATTTCCTTTGCAAAATTTCACCTGGCAAAGGCTCAAGCAGGTGCTTTAATCCATCCCTATTCAGGAAAGCACCTGGGAACATCTAGTAGGAAATACAGGCTCCTAGTTAGACACTAATGAGCGAAACTCAATACAGGTTGAGCTTTCTAAAAGTAAGAAAATAAATCGATAACAGTAGAGACATATTCTAGGGGAGGCAAAAGAATAGAAAGAAAACCCTGTATTGTCCTCAGCCCAACGGCATTAAGGAGCTTTCCCTGCCCTAAGTGGTATTGGCTTATTAGCAGCCGGACGTAGGAGAACCATCACAGATCATCAAAAACCCTAAAACCAGCATTTCTGATATACACCCGTGCACACGATGCCATACTCCCATCACAGCAGAACACTGAAATGGCAGGCAAACAGCAGCATCCAACAAGTTAAGAAAGGTGACCAAGGAAACCTCTCCCCTTAATTTTGATGTTCAAGTAGTCTTGGACTATGGGAAAAGGCTAGAAAAAAGAATATCTAAAGGAAAGTGGTAACAGAGTAACAGGTATTTGGACTGGTGTTCAGGCAAAAGCAAACAAGACAAAAGTGAACATATGAACTTTAACATCAAGAAATTTAAGGTCACTCAGCTAAGAACATACGCCACATTTAGGACGTGGTCTCTCTCTCTAACACAGTGCCCTAAGGCAGCCATGGAGACTGTGCTACTTCCTTATTGACACTGGTCATGTTCTGACATATATAATTCAAAAATAATTTGAAAAGAGCTCAGGGAAGAACGATGAGAATGATTAAAGGATTGGACAATATGTTTTTAATTCAATTAAATGAAAATTCACTTCAGGAGACTGTTTAGCATGGCCAGATTCTTAACAAGTTGCTTGATTATATTCTGTGTTAATGCAGCAACTCAAGATTTATTAACATAGTATTCCAGTGTGATTTATGAATATTGTTTCTCACATAACAGAAAAAATATACAACAAGGCCACTGGCTGTAGGTTAAAAACAAATTAAATTCTGAATTGCCTTTTTCCCCTCCCCTTCCCCCCCCTCCATTTTTTTGCAATAATTACAGGACTGACTCTGCAAGGTTAGGAGGTGTGTCACCCAGCAAGTTCTACCACATGCAGTTCTTAAAAAGCAAGATTGAAATTTTTTTTTTCCTAGAAGATACAGTCTAGTTCAAACAGGAATTACTTCAGTAAGAGTTGCACAGAAGGTCATGGCAGATCAAAACAGACTTTAAAATGTGTAACCTCTGAAACCTCTAGGAAGGGGTTTAAGTGATGCTGAAAGACTTATACAGACCTTGAACACAAAAACTTCCAAGCAAAATTTGCCCCAATTGCATTTATTTCAAAACCTCCCATATAGATACTAAGCAAATTATTACTTGTCATTTATATATATAAAACCAGCCAAGAGAAAGTCAGTCATATTCAAAACAAAAGATACTTTACTACTTCAAAACCACTTTCATCTCATAATAAAATTCTCCCTGAGATGCATTTCAGGCTATCTAGACGCAGTCTTAGTTAACTCATTTCCTTTTGTATCTGCATTTTTAAAGCCTCACTCCTCTGAAGGGAGAAGAGGGTGTGGTTTGCTATTTCATATAATAAATAAAAATTAAAAAAACCAGATATTAAAAGGATTGCACTTCTGTAGCATTTTAGCTATTAAATAAACTATCATTTTAATTTAAGACAGGTTTTTCTGAGTATTAGCAAAAAAAACAACACTCCAAAAAACCAACCAGCCCACCCACAGTTTTGGGGATGTTTGGATTACAATCGCATCTTCCTGTTCATTAAGTCTACAAACTAAGCATTACCTATTTATCAAATCAGAACATCCCTTCAATAACCCAAACAGCATTTTCTCATCTGAGCAGTGCAGAATGACAGCACCACATTCAGAACTGCACATCAAGTCTTCCAGCAGCACGTGTGCAGGACAGAAAGCGAAACAAAGAACAGAGAGAAACCTGAACATGGGAGTACAGAAAAAAAGAGAAAGAACAAGCTACTATACACTATCATTAAAAAGCCTCACACCCCCCACACCCCCCCCGACTCCTGTTCACAATAACCATTTGAACTAGCATCATATTTTTTGCAGCCTATCTGCAAATCACGAGGTGGTGAATTCGGCATGGGTGTAACTCATGACTCCAGCAGAGGTGCACTGAAGCAGAATCAGTGCCACATTCTAACATTAAATAACCATTGATGTTCTCCCATCCCAAGAACCCCCCCAGTGCTCATTTATAAGGGCCATACAGTACCCTCCGTCAGAGACATGCCCTTATAAAAGAGGCCTTTGTCTGCTCACCACCGCTGTCTCAGAGAAACAGAGAACACAATTTGCTTTACATTTTTCAATTCCTTTACATTATTTAAGAAGAAAAGAAATAGCTTACAAGTACATATCCTTCTGCAAATAAGCTTCCTCAACATTCCTTCATCTTTTCCATAGCGTGCCCAGATGTAACACTGCTTCACAGAGCGCCGCGGCTTTCAGTCCAGAACATAATCAATCATTGCCCTTCGTATTCATTAAGCATGCTGTCTTCACACGTGGATTTAAACAGCTATGGCTTCACAGAGACTGTAGCTCTGCAGGATTCTCATCAACACCCATTTCAGCCCAGGAAACTTTGGTTCACTTCTAGGAATGAAATTCCCTGCTAGCAAGGGGAACCCGGGACAAATAATCTGAGACGAAGATGAGCTGAGTCGCCTGGCTAGGCTGGCTTGCACTAGGAACCAGCCTGACTTTATCCCCTGGGAAGCGCTAACAGGAGCATCTCAACAGCTGTCATCATTTGTCCATGACGAATAAATTTAGTCATTATTCATTTTAAAACGTAACCCCTTCAGGTCTGGGCAAGGTGTAAAATGGGGAGAAGAGACTGTGCTAGCCGTTCAGGAATCACAGTAAACATGGGCCAGCGTTTCCCCTGCCTGAACTGCCAGCCTAGGACCTTTTAAAGGAAAGTAATTGAGTCTCAAAATTCCTTTCCAATGAAAGGAGATGCTTTCTGGCTTTTAAAAACTTTAAGATGTCAGATTCAAATCTTTTAGTTACTTCTCTGTAAGCTTTAGAGAAGAAAACTACTCTGTAGTGACTACAAATTGGGAGAAAAGCTTACAATTACGTTTGTTCCTAACAAAGATGCCCTGCTCTGATCTTCAGGTCTGACTCTGCAAGGTACCAAACTTGCTCTGGCCGTGCTGTGCCCATTTATCATGTGTCCCATCTCCAAGTGTCAGTGCAGCTGAAATATGCAAGATGGATACAAGTTGCAAGTCTCACCTGCACCTCTCTCATGAGAATCTCCCTTTCAGGTGCAGATGAAGGTGGACAGCACTGGAGAAACCTGCCTTCCCACCTACCACATGGCATCCTGTACCAGGAGCAGACACACAACTGCTAAAGCTGACATACATTTCAGCGCATCGAAACCCCGTGCTCAACCCCTACTAGGTCGGCAAAGACCAATTCCCTGAAGATCTGACAGCCCCCTGTAAAAGCTGAGAATATGCACTGGCAAACCCACCAATGACGAAGAAAGCAGGCTATGCTCCTCTTTACTCCTTTTTTCCAGACACGACCCTCTGTGCGTTGGTCAATGTTTTTGAGACAGATACCCCTTGGACACCTCAGCTCATGCTCTCCCCCAAGACCAGCGTCCAGCACCCCCATTCTCCAGCCGTGACTCCGGTAGGACATGAGCACTGTCCACTCCTCTCTGCGGGTGTCCCACAAGCCTCCAAGAGAAGCAGCTTCACCCAACATTAAATGCCTCTTCCCATTAGCACACACCAAACCCATGTATGGCTTAGCTGCAACCCTGACCAACTCCAAAGTAGGTACTGTATAAATTTCTCCAGGAAAATGAGTTTATGAACCCAATAAATATAAATGGGCATGTATATGCTCCCCAGCAGGATGAAATGTTTAAAAAAAAAGAGGAGTTGCAG